CTCCGCAGCGGTGGAGGCCGAGGCCCCGAGCCGTGGGGCGGAGACGCAGCGGGAGAAGGAGCAGCGCCTTATCCGCAAGAGCAAGTCCGAGACCGCCAGCATCTTCAAGGGCACAGTCGTTTCTCCAAAGAGGCTTCATTTCTTTTTTGGTACCTGGAGTCGAACTCAGGACCTTGTGCTGCCCAGGCAGGCGCTTGTTCCGCCGAGCTGTATCTCAGCCCGTACAGTGCTTGCTTTTAAACAAGCCATAAGCATATGTACTTTAAAATTGCTGTTTTTAACCTTGTGGGCTTTTATGTATTTGATTTTCCACGTCTTGCTGATTTTTTTTCCCTTTCAGACACTACAATCTCACAGGGGCATCAATTAGAATCCTAAAAAAATTGATTTTTCTTCATAGATGCAAGCAAAAGAAATGCAGAAAAAATGAGCCTATCTGTTTGATGCATGTACATTATTACAACATGCGTGTAGCAGAGCTGTCTTTAAAAACGGCACTGGCTTCTTTCTGTGTGTTTTGAAAGGCTTGAACGTCACAAGCCCAGTACCATAAGCCCGAGATGTACAACGGAAGGTTCCGAGGTCTGCACAGGAAGCATGGCGGGCGAGTCGGCTCCGTGCCCAGGGGCCGCAGAGCTGGCCCCAGGGAAGGCGGCCTGGCACCGAGGGGCGGAGGCCTGGTGCCGAGCGCCGCGCGAAGATGAGGGCAGCGCGCCCGCCCCAGGGCTGTGGCGCATAGCTGTGTCCCCGCTTGTTCCGCAGGCCCCGATGGACATTCCCGGCCTCAACCTGAGCCAGCAGGAGTACTACCCCTACGTGTACTACAAGATCGACTGCAACCTGCTGGAGTTCAAGTAAAGCGCGCTGCCCACTGGACAGCCCTGTCGTGTGCGGGTGTGTGCCGGGCTGCATACCGTGTACTTTCAACTCTTGCTTGCTCCTCCCCCTCCCTGGGCGAGTTCTTCCATAGTGCTCCGTGTCTCAGTGTTTTCTTTTTAAGGGAAAATATATATATATTGTTTCTTTTTATTGATCAGGTCTGTAAATGTGCACTAAAACAATCAGAGTTTATTTATGAACAGAGTAGTTTATTTAAAGAGCAGGTCTTGTTCTCTTGGTACTGTGGTATGCGCTCATTCCTGTGGTCACCGCGGCGCCCTCGGCCCCTGGACGCGGGCGGGCGCACGCTCACACCGCCCGCTCCCTGGAGGCGGGACGTAACCTTCAGTAGTTCCGGACGTGCTCCAGAGGTGTGCCGCCCCTGGGCCTGTGCTTGTGAACGCTCCGCTGTGCGCTGTGAGCACAGTCCGCGCCCACAGGAGAGAATGAACCGGCGCCGCAGAGCCGTGTGGTGCGTGTGACTCGGAGGTGACGGCTCCGGGGCGAGCAGTGCGAGCGCGTCACAGCCGGCACGCCGCGCTGCTTCTGGATTGGCACAGCCTTCGCTGAGACGTCCGCGTCTGACTCGCGTGTGATGTCATTGTGCCAAATGCGGGTCGCCGCGGAGGCGAAGATTACTTTCCAGTGTCCGGGGTGTGTACAGCAGTGGTTCTCCCCAGGGAGGAAGCCCGAGGGCCGACTTCGAATAAAGTTGCTAGGAAAATATCCATGGCTGCTAACCTCGAATAAAGTTAGCGACACTGTGCAGCGCAGTCGTGTGTTTTGTCTGAGTCTTTCACACGCTTCCCGCTTGAGAGCGATGGTCATAAAAGCTTCGTTCCAGCATTGCCGTCATTGGGGACAGTCTGGAAGCAGAGGCGCTGCTGGCCTTCCATGCTCGGCAGCGTGGCTCAGAGTCGCGTCCTAGCCTGGTGTTCAGAGCCACCGTGCACGGGGAGGACGGTCCGTCTCCTCTCAGGGTGTCTCGGAACTGTTCCCTTCCGTTTGGAAAATCAGCCTCCAGAACCCTTTCGGCTGTGGAGTTTTGTTACTTCGTAAGCAGTTACTAACATCAAACAGGTCTTTGAAGCAGAGGTGGGTCATGCCCAGCTTCCCAGCTCCTCGCGTTCTTCCAGTCCTTGCCCTGCTCTGCAGTGTCCCCACACAGGCTGCTTTATTTGAAGCAGGCCCCGCACGTCCCTCCCGTGCTGTTTTGCGTGGAGTGCCCATGGGAGCCTGTGTGGCCGCCCCGCGCTGCCCTTTGCCCGGCTGCCTGCTTGTGGTCGCCTCTGCTGTGGTTTGCCCGGCCCACACCCCCGTGTGTTCTGGCCCCTGAGAGATCGTGTGTGTGGAGTTTGTAGGGTCGGAGGGTCTGCCACCCCCAGGCTGCTGCCAGAATCCTAAATTCTAGACGTTTGAAATGTGGTCTTCCAATTTCTGTGCACGAGAGGAAGCTGAGGATGGCGGGCGCTGGCGTTCCCGCAGGTGTTCTTCAGCGGTGGTGTCTGTAAGATGGGCTGTCTCTGTCCTGCGGTGCGCGTGCCAGCGAACACCCGCAGGCTCGCGGAGGCTGCCGGGAAGGTCGCACTCAGACCGTGGCTGCCTCCCCATGGGCGCGGGCAGGGACCGCGCCCTGTGTGTGCAGCCTCAGGTGGTCCTTGTGCTCCCGGGGCCGGACCTGGCTGCCTTTGTGCACGGGGAGGACTCGCTTGGTGCCCAGTGCCAGCCTGGCCCACGGACTGGGCGCGTGAGGTCTCTTCCCCCGGGAATTTCGGCACCCACGCTGGCGCGCTGCAGGTAGGAAAGGGTGCTGTGGCTCCGAGTGAGGGGGCTCTGACACTGCAGCTTCCTTCCACGACGGAGGCTCCTGTCAGGGCCGCAGTGTCCAGCTTACCTGCCCTTCCGGGGGCTTCCTGGTTCTCCTAGAATGGAACTCATAATTTTGAGGTCCTAAACTTCTAGCCACCACTCCCATCCGCTGCCTCAGCCTCCCGCAGGGTGTCCTTGATAAGAGGGGACTGGTTGTCCCCCCGTGGCTTGTGTTGGTTCAAGAAATTTAAGTAAAGCCACAAATTGAGAGTCAGAACCTGAACCTGAGATTTCTGACTTCTTCCTGTTTCCCACCCACCGCGTGTCAGGCGCTGCGGGAGCTGGACGCAGCCTTGACCTTCGTCCAGCGCCTAGGAGACTGCAGAGAAACGTGCAGGGCCAGATGGTCGGGCCGGCCCGGGTCCTCCGTGACAGGCAAGGCGTGCCCAGGGGCTGCGGGTGGATCCTGGGCCCGGTGCCGGCTCTGCCCTGCCTGCTGCAGCCGCTGTGTGGCGAAGGCCCGGCCCAGCGCGGACTTTGGTGCCGGAACCTTCTCTCCGCTCACGGGTCGTGTCCCGAAGGCTGTGAATAGAACGTTTGAAACGCAGCGAGATGTGAGGGTCTTCGCTGGCTGTCTTGGCTGCCTTCGTGTGCACCAGGTTAAACGCTACATCGGCAAGTGTTCCTGACGGCTTCCCGAGGACGCCTCGCCCGCCTTAGGGAAGGCCGCTCGGGGGAAGCAGGGAGAGCTTTGCGAGCTGACGGCTGGTCTCCGGCTTGGGGCGCACCTGTTTCAGCAGTGTGGACTTGCATGGGCTTCGTTTCCTAGAGCTGGTGTTAGCTCCTTCGCGTTGACACCTGAGTGCAACATGCCTGCCTGCCTTTCTTTTCTTTCTTTGCAATCCGCTTTCTCAGCAGGGCCCGTTTTGCTCTGCAGTGGCTCTACCTGGTGCGTATTTTCTGATCTGAAGCCCAGGGCCTCCGGAGGGGAAGGGTCGAAGTACAACCTTGGGGCCATCGAGGTCAGAAGCCTCCTGGCGCTGGTGAGCTCTGCTGCCGAAGACGGGGAGACAGGAGCAGCGGGGCGGCCCGACGACGTAGGAAGGGAAGGCTCGCCGCGGCCCGGCTGTGTCTCGGCGCCTTGTTGGGGGGTGTCTCCGAGTCTTCGTGGGGCGCAGCGCCTCGGGGATGAGCAGACGCGGAGAAGTGGGGCTTGCTGTGGCCTCCCTAGGGACCGTTCCTCCTTCGGGCCCAGACTGGGCGGCGACTTCCGGGCTGGGAGCATCTTCTCCTCGGTGGGGACGGCCACATGGCCCACGCGGGGAGCAGAGGCCGCTCCCCGCCGTGTCGGGGTGATGGAGGTCACGTGCCCTCTCGGGACGGCCGCTCCCGCGATGCGTCACCTCTGCTGAGCGAGCGAGCGGCCAGCAGTTGGTAGGAGGAGCCCCGGAGCGGGACGGCGCGGGTGGAGCCGAGAGGCGGCTGAGCCGCGGTGGAGCAGGGGAGACTGCGCTGCCGGGGGCCTCGGCCCGGAGTAGCCAGAGGGCCGGCAGGGAGCGCCCGGGCTCCGATCCCGTGCAGCTCTCGCTTCTGCAGCTTCCGGGTGTGTGGATGACTCACCGGACAGGTCTGTGACGAGTGAGACTTCGTCCTCTCGCCCGCAGACTGCCACCTGGTAGCTCTGTAAGGCACGCTCTGGGAGCGGTTCTAACGAGCGCGCAGGTTTTATGTGTTGCTTGGGCCTTCTCCGATGGAGCCTGGGGCGGCACAGTCCCGCGTCTTACCACAAGGGGGCGCTCTGGCACCACAAAGGCCGCGGGTCCGTTCTCCACTGCAGCGAGGTCCACGCAGAAGCCAGCCGCTCTGCGGTCTGGTCTGGGCAGTGTCGCTACAAACACGTGCAGTAGAAAGTGCTCAGAACACGCTGGATGTGACTCAAGACTGGCCAGTGTGACTGAGGGGCAGACTTTAAACCTTTGGTTTGGGCTTTGGTTTTTGAGGTGGGTTCTCTGCCTAGTCCAGGCTGCCGATGCTCCTGCCTCAGCTTCCTGAGTGCTGGGATCACAGGCGAGCACTAGCCCACCTCGTGGAGTTTTCCATCTTCGTGTACATAGCTCCATGTGCCGGAGGTGTGGCCGGTCAGCCCTGGGCCGTGAGCCCTCTGCCCCGTGTTGCCGGCCAGTGTGGCGGGATCACATGCTGTCCCTCCCGAGGACAGCACTCAAGCCCCCGCCTTGCACAGGGCGAGCGCCCCTCCATGTCTGAGTCGCGGTCACGCTGCAGGACAGTTCCTGGTGACTGCACGTGCCCAAGGAGGACCACAGAGTCAGTTTTCAGTGTGGGTGTGTTTTGATAGCGTGGTTGTGTAAGATTCTAGTCGGACTTGACTCTCCCAGCCCTCAGCCCACCCGCCCGCGGAAGCGCTGCTCTCAGCAGGGGCCTGGCTGGCCAGCACAGGAAGTTGTGGGGGGATGAGACCGAACAAGGAGTTTGCAGATAGGACTCACAGCAGACCTATCGTTCTGGGTCATCTGGGGACATCTGGGGAGACCCGAAAATTTACACTGGATGCTTCAAGGACTCTGCTCACTGAGGTGCAAGGGACTGTGCCCGCAGATGTTTAGTCACATCTTCCTGCCTAGTGTCTCCTGCCTTCTCTCCATCCCTGTAAAAGGGACACACTTCTCTTTGTTTAGGGCAGACAGGCTTATCGCTCTCTGCATGCCTGCCTGCTCCCAGGGACAACAAATTCCATGCCATGTTGCCTTACACAAACCTGGCGGTCTCTGCTGCACCCCTACACCCCATATTTTACAGGTTGGACACATACTTTTGTGTTTTGAGACAGGGTCTCGTTCTGTACTGCAGGCTGGTCTTGAACTGACTGTGTAGCCCTGGCTGGCCTCAAATTTACAGCAGTCCTCCTGCCTCAGCCTCCTGAGTGCTGAGATTATAGGCATGTGCCACCACACCTGACTACATAAAATTGTTTAAGTGCTGAGGGCTGGGAGTGTAGTTTCATGGTAGAGCACAAGCTCCCTGTTCTCAATCTCTGGCACCCCTTCCCCATAGCCGTCGTAGAAAGGGTTTACAAAGGGGGGCCGGGCTGGGCATGGTGGCACACGCCTGTAATCCCAGCATTTGGGAGGCTGAGGCAGGAGGATCACTGGGAGTTTGAGGCCAGCCTGGGATACAAAGTTCAAGGCCAGCCTGAACTGCATAGCGAGACCCTGTCTCAGAAAGACAAAAAAAAAAAAAAAATGGGGCCAGAGACATCCATTGCAGTATCTAGCACCTACTAAATACAGAGAGTGGGACAACGTTACATATTTACACTGCTGTCACTTGCATTTACAGAGGGCTTGTGGGCGCCAGGCCTCGTGCCAAACAGTTTTGTCTTTTTTTTTTTTTTAGCTTTTTGAGATAGGGTCTCACTATGTAGTCCAGGCTGGCCTTGAACTCATTACGTAGCCCAGGCAGGCCTCAGATTCATGGTGATCCTCCTGCCTCAGCCTGGGGAGTGCTGGGCTGACAGGCGTGCCTCACAACAACTGCAGACACTACTACCCAGTGCTGATGGTGACGCCAGAAGCCAGAGGCAGAGGCAGACACCGCTCCGTCCCACAGGGCTTCTTGGGACTCCAGGACCCGTGTCCCATCCTCGTGCTGGTGTTCCGGCACCAGCTGGCCTTGGCGGGGGCTCTGGGTTGGGTCTTGGGCAGGGCAGGGACGTTACTTAAGATCTGCGGGACGGGGTGCAGGCGGTTGGCTCTGAGTCTGACACTGAATGCAGGGCGGCAGCAGCGTCTCAGGCGGAGGGGTCGGTTTGGGGCTTCTGAAGCACGGAGGTGACCCCAACACAAACCAGGGCCCTGGGGGTGGCAGGGGCCATGGAGAAGAGTGAGCGCCTCTAGCTGAACCGGAGCCCCAGAGAGGATCTCCACCACCAGGAAGTGCTGGCGCA